AATACAGCTTATCGATTTTGTGCTGTGTTCTTTAAAATCGTATCCTGGACGATCTAGTCTGAGTATTTGCTTTTAGAAAAGAGTCTTATTTCCACTGCTGGGATTTATGTAACTTATCAGAAGAATTTATAATCTTAACTACAAAAACGAAATGAAGACTTCTTACTTTTGAAGTTAATCAAAAAGTTCTTTTAAAAGGTTTAATTTGCAGGTATGTCATTTTCATTTATCTTCCACCATAATATCATCACGCCTTTTATCCCCGAAGGGGCAGACAGAAGCGCACATTACGGCACTTAGTGCCACTGTACAAAACACCCACTTTTCTGTTGAGCCTGTTGCCATAAATCGGGCATAATTTCAAACTCTGTGCTACTACTACAGAGATTTATTTTAAAAACCCAGTATTACTTTTGCTCGATTCGGGAATCGAACCCGAAACCCCTTGCCCAGCAGCTTGCGACCACTCGGATAACGAGGCAGTCTATCTTCTTCCAACATTATATTAATAACAATACATTGGTTAATAAAGACCAATAACAAAATTAATTTAATTCCTCATCCGTAATACGATTGTGTGCGAATGTACGAAAGATTCCTGCGACAAGAATGCCGGCGCGTCTCAATCTAATGAAATTGTCGGCGAGTGTTGAGGGACGTACACTACCCAACCTACTAAGTCCCCACCCTTCAGACAGAAAGCGAATAACAATCTGAAATCAATCATCAATCCTTTATTATTATAATTCAATTATTTTGAAGTTGGTATTGAAAATAATTATTTATTTATTGTGAAAATACCAAGGACGCCTTGTAAAGTTATACAGAATTTAGAATTTCAAGACAAAATTGTTATAATCGATTTGTCTGTAATGAAATATCAAGAATAGAATTCAAACTATGACGCAAGTACGATTTCCCAGCATACTTTTAGCTAAATATTAGAGTTCGATTTTTAAATTTGAACTGGAATTATACTTCCATTGTATTTTTTTTAATAAGGAAATTTTTGCCCGAAGCCAATAAATTAATTAAAAAAAACATAAATAGATGTGTCCATAGAGTAACTTTTTTTTATCTTGAGGTCCATAGAGTAACTTGTAATATGATGAGTCGAAAGTACGGTAAAATCGGTTGTGTGTTTAAAACAACCGAATAACTCCTCTGACAACATGACTTTTTAAAATTATTTACACAAGCAATACACACACACACAAGCATGTGTAGCTAATCGGTTTAGTATTGATCGTGTAATTAATTTGCTGTTTATAGACTAGACTAGACTTTAGCTAGGGTTCTGGGAACAGATTCATGGGGAACGTATTGTGAATAAAGGGTAAAGGGGACGAATGGTGATAGGACTTTTTTTTTGAGAGAGAAAGTTATTTAATGACTTCTCACACCTTGGGTGATGCGAGAGAGAGTGTCAGACTATAATTTACCAAAAACTATCTCGTTCCTTGCTCGTTGGCCTGCCTCGTTGGCCGAGTGGTCGTAAGTGCGACTGCCGGACAAGGGGTCTCGGGTTCGATTCCCGGGTCGGGCAAAGTATTACTGGGTTTTTAAATATTCTCAGTAGTAGCACGGAGTCTGGATTTATGCCCTGTATATGGCAATAGGCTCACCCCTATTACATGGGACTCATAATCATAACATAAATAGTGAAAAGTGGGTGTTACATTAAACAGTGGTATAATGTGCACCTCTGCCTACCCCTTCGGGGATAAATGGCGTGATGTTATATTATGTTATGTTATCTCGTTCCTTCTCTGATTTAATTTGGAGTCTGCCGGTAGTTCGTTGGGTCGTCTGCGGGTCCAGAAAAGGTGCCAGTAGATTATTTTTGATACCGTAATAAGACCTTTAAAAGATGATTCGGCAGTGTGGGGACTGGGGGAACTAAGGATTCTCACTAGAACTATTCCTCTGGTCACCATTAGCACGTACAAGAGGCCACCACTTCCTCTAGTACACCTCGGTAGCTCGCTACTCGATTAGAACCAGACCCGTGCGTTCGGGGCGTCGCGTTCCGCGCGCACAGAGCTATCAGACCACCATAAATAAGGCTCAGCGGCCCAGTAGTGCTGATACCCGATACGGAGCCGCGGAAGGCCTAACAGGTTGCTGGGGCTCCGGCTCGATGACCAGCAATAGGAACGCGGTGGTTTTTAGTCAGTTAGAGTCTTACACCCCCTCTCGCCTAACCTAAGGTGGGAGAAGTCATTGGATGACATCTCAACACAAAAAAAACATCATACCTCATTTACTGTTGAATAGATAATGATAACCCTAACATTGTGTTACTTCTAGACAAATAGAATAAACATAAACTTATATCCAATAATCCAGGACTACTCTAACAAGATAAGGCTGCGTTTCCACTTACGCGGAGTGGGGCGGAGAGGAGCTTAGCGGTGCACGAATTGACCAATCACTATGGTCGAAATCTCGGCTCCGGTTCAATGGAAACAGCATTCATAATAATTTCATAATCAAAATACAGCGGTCTACTAACAGTCAATGCTACGGCATCTGATTCGTTTTCATTATGATAGTTTTTTTTTTCTTTTTAAATGACAACATGACGTACGGTATTTCTAAAAGATCGATTAGGCTGGAGTAGGCTTCGCTATGCTCCTTTTCAGTCCGCTCCGCTTTAATGGAAACACTGACCACATTTCACCGCTCGTCACCGCTCCTCTCTGCCCAGCTCAATCAATGGAAACGCAGCCTAAACCTAATAAACCAATGAGCAGAATGGGATTTATCTATCCGTCTTATTCTTACCTGTGAGGTCTTTGAAACGGAAGTAAATGTATTTAAGAGTTAGCAGCAACACTCTCATGTTGTTACTTAATAAAATAAAATGAGTTATATTGTGGAGCTACGTGTGTTAGTTATAAAACTTTTGGTGTACTAGCTTCTGCCAACGGCTTCGTCCGTGTGCAAGAAAAAGTAGCTTATGTGTTTTTCCGGATCAAAATCTGAACTTGTCCCAAATTTCCTCCTGACTCCTTCAGCCGCTTTGACGTGTTTAAGTAACAAACATACACACATACAAACAAACTTTCGCATTTATTATATTACTAGCAACTCGCCCCAGCTTTGCACAGGTGCAATATGCATGGATTAAATACATAAACCTTCCTTAAGAATCACTCTATCTATGAAAAAAAAACCGCATCAAAATCCGTTGCGTAGTTTTAAAGATCTAAGCATACATAGGGACAGTCAAACGGTGGATAGCGGCTTTGTTTTATACTATGTAGTGAGTGAGACAACTATGGTGTTGGTGACGATTATAGGAGATCATGTGAGTAATACTTCTTTATAACATGAACGGTTAAGATATTACGTAAAATCTAATCTTTGTATGATCCAACATTGATGCAACTGTTCTCTTGTGACCACAGATTATAAAGTCATATGTTTTGATTCCCAAAGATTTTGTTGGAGATGCACATTGCACGTGCGTACGTGCAATGCATCTTGGACTTGTGGCGACGCATGCCACATGTCAACGGATGACGTCATAAGAATCCTACATCGCACATGCAAAGTTTACAAGCAAATAAACACGGATAGAAAATCTCAACGAACAACTGTTGGGCAGAAAGCCCGCCAGGCACGATCACCTCGCCTGGTCAGAGGATCCTCCTTTTCCGATCTTAGGGAACTATACTCTCTGTTCCCTAAAGACTAAATCTTCTCATCATCTGCCTCTCATTATATTGTGTAATGTAACACCTACTTATCACAAGTCATCATCATCAACAACAGCCTATAAATGCCCATTGCTGAGCGAAGCCTCTTCTCTCACGGATGGTTTGAGCACACAATTATAGCTATACTTCATGTTTTTTCATAAACCCTACCTACCAGTAAATCGAAAGATATCCTGTTCACTACCGACCTCAATTTTCAATAAAAATTCTCTCTCGAGCTCTTTTATCCTAGCTCCGTCAGTGAAATATCCTGTTTCATAAAAGTTATAAATTGCGAGGCAGGCGTTACGAATTCGATCCTTTCTAACATACCTTTCGAATATCCTCGTGTGACTGGTCAAAGAGACAATGTCTAGGGAATTTAGGATAGGATTTATGTAGGAACAGGGTAGGGAAATGTATTGCTTTCTGTTTGTTTTAGTGAATACGACATAATTGTTTATTAGAACGTTAAGATTTCACAGAACGCCTAAGTGGGTAGGTGCTTGCTTTTGTATAACGCACAGTTAGGAGTATTCTTTATAAGTGATAAAATTCGCGATTTGGCCTACTCAGGATAATGTCTTTTTTTTAAGGGGGGAAAATCATCGAATGACTGCTCCCGCCTGGGTGAGGCGGAAGGGAGTGTCAGACTCTTACTGACTAAAAACCACCCTGTTCCTTCTCCTGCACGTCGAGCCGGAGCCCCGGTTACCCGTTAGGTTCTCCGCGACCAGGATAATGTCTACGTTTTTGCTAAAACAATTTAATTGTATAAAACTTTTCATAGTATTCCAGCCATCAATCGTAGAAATCTAACTCTTAGATGATGGTGGAACATTTCATATGAGGACCTCTATCAAGATCCGATATTTTCGCTTTCAAAAATCATATGCTTTCAAAAAACCTCAAATATGTCCACCAATCTATCGACTAACCTTGCTAACACCATTTTAAAACTCAAAAGCCATTTAACTGTAACTTTCTAGGAGGTTCATTATCTTTATTTAATATTGAACAATACAAATAATGTCCACTAACAAACTTTTCAAGTATCGATAACAATACAAGTCTAATCAGCGGTGTAATTAAACTGATATCATACTCGTTATCTGCTATCGACACTCCATATGTATCGATTTATTACAACTTTACTAAAACTCTGAAGGTTGTTTGATTTGTATTTATTTAAATCATGGTTTCTGAATTTTTGCTCAGTCTAGATGGCGCCACTGGCGTTTAATGCCGCTGCTATTTTTTTAATACGGTTTTTGGAAGATAAAATCAGCATTATGACTGTTTTATATTTTACTCTGTAACTGTAAGAGCTTTGGTTTAGTAAAGTTATGTAATTCGACATAATGTTTGCAATAAAATACAAATGATACATTTAATACAGATTTATTTTGTTCACTTACAAAACATGAATGAATATCAAAAATGCGATTGCATTTAAACATCTATAAGTATTAAATAAGAATACCTATGTATGTACGTACAATAAATTATTTTAATTTTTAACGTTAGTAGGTAGGTACTTATAATATCAATGGTATAACAGATCTTTCGATTCCTCGATATACCTATAACTAAATACACGTAAACATATAATTCAACACCATTAAAAACACAAAAATATTTAATTTAAAACATTACAATAAAAATGTACCAAAGAGTTTGCATTGTTTTTTTAATAAGGCAAGACTTTCGATGTGTTGCTAGTACAAAAATTTACATCATCGTAAATTATAGACAATCTGTTTGAATATAATGCCAATACTAAATCTTTACACTAATTCATTTGTTCCTACACTTAATTACTGCTTCGTAACCCATAACAATGGCACTTTCTTGACTAACATAACAATATTATCACTTTCCAATACATTTGTAAAGTTTTTTTACAAATATATTCAGACATATATTACTAACATCAAGTTAGGAGTAAAATGTTCCAAGTTCTGTAGTAACTTTGTAACGAGCTAAGTCTGGTAATTGGAGGAAAGACATTTCGCGTTTTCCTTTCGATTAATCCTCATTTTAGGTGTTATTGACTCAATTCGAAGCTTCTAATGAAGACAAAGTTACTAAAAACTGGTGGAACTTGGAGGTAGAGAGTCTACAGCTCTTGGGTAGGGTCCTCAGCATCCGCTAGCTTCACCAATCCAATGAAGCTCTTCTCGGGCTGCATCAAGGAGTGCCTGTCTCCTCCTGTATTCCGCACTGCTAGCCTGTCACCAGCCTTCAGGAATAAGGCAGCTGCTGAGAAGCAAGAGTTCGGTTTGTCGATTTGTTCCGTCGAGTGAGATGACTGAGCACACTGGAGTAGCGTTTCCCGACCCTCAATGTCGGCATTCGTGCGGTGAAGCACCCAGGAGATTACGTCGTGACTGTCCAGATAGTAAATCTGTGAACAAAGAAACACGTTTAGTATTTTGGGACAGGATCAGGATACAAAAATTCTATCTTGAGCTAAATTATGGTCCACTTTGCTTCAAGAACAAGGCTTTGTAACAGAAAAAGGGTTGTAAAGTAATTCATCGTTAAAGGAATCCTTCCCTTATTTACCAGCTACAAGACAACAAAAAGTTAGTCAGAATTAAAGTACGGAGGAGGCAAAGCTAACTAAAGCTAGATAAATCTGCCGACCCTGGGAATTGTTTAATGCCTTAGTTTATTTGTATTAGAACTTGGAATGAATTTCTGAGCTCCTATTAATTGAGTTGCGAACAATATATTGTTTTGTTCGTTTATAAATCAGAATTTATGGAAGCTAAAACTTGTACTAGCTTTAAACACATCTCGAAATAAGTCGTCATATAATTCAAACGGAATTTATCAAATACAGTCACGTATTAGGGCCATTTGGGACTTAAAAGGGGCAGACAATAAGTCGGTCTTCAATGCCGGAGACGATAAATACGAAAGGCTCTTAGGATTGTGGAACCATACCTACCTGTTGAATGTGCGACCTCTTTGGACCTTTACGATGTCTGAGCCCTATTCTATATGACGTAACTTTTGTTCATAACGGTTCTTGAGTTGACTACACTTCAACAGATTAGTTACTTTAGCCAATATTCGTGGTAGACCTTCGTAATCAAAGGTCCATTGGAACTCAAACATTAATCATATAATACAAACTTGATTGACAACTGTTATATAAAGTGCTATTAAATTTGAATAACTGTTATGTTAGCTATCTGATATTTGTGATCGCTTCATAATGGCGACGTGCCGTCGTGCAAAAGCGCGGCAAATCGAACTGTCCTTATGTCATGCTTGTACTTGCGAATTTTAGTTTTTAGCAGCATTTCTGTCCAGCTGCATTGGCAGATATTTGCTGTCTATTATGAGATGTAGTTATAATTGTAAAATGCAACTATCAAAAATCGTATTGAGATCAGTATCTACGTTTGAGAGCCGCTACAGAAAAGAGCTCTCTTACGACGCGATTAAAAACTCATTTAGAAGAATTATTAATGACTCTTTCAGTCACAATATCTTCTTACCTGTACATAGACTAAATAAACACCAGTGTGGTGTACATGCACATGTCCGCTGCGAGTGAGCGTAGGCCGGGGATGTGGTGACGCCACCGTCCAGGGTGCAGGATACCACACATCGTGAGCAGCGCCATGGGACACGCGAACTAGACCGTTACCTGGAAATAACAGATTTAGAATTAATTAATTTCTGTAATGGAAGCTGATGTAACATCACACGGTACGCCAACGCGTTCTCCGAAGGGACGAGTAAAGGTAGTAAAAAAGAGTATTGTAAACTCGATATTTGCCGCTGGTAAGGACCCAGTCCTTATTAATTAGTAAAAGTAACACTGTCTGCTACATATGCAAATAATACCTACTAACGTGATTTCAAATTTTGTATGGAGAGTAGAGCTTGATAAATGACACAGATACATTGAATCCACATCACTGAAGATACAATAAAACAGGTATATATATTTTATCGTCTTCTTGACCTTTCAAAATATCATGCAAGCGATTCCATTAGCGGAAAACTAAATAAGGTTAATAATAAAAATCTACGTTTTTTATAGTAGTAACCTGCGCTTACACATGAATCATTTGCTTGAATAAAATAAATACTAACTATTCCTAAATATAGAGGTATACAAGTTAAGATAAAAATTTAATAAAAGAAAACTAAAAATAGCTAATAACACAAAGCATCGAAAAATTTGTCCGCATCGACGTCAGTAGGGTTATGCTTTAATGATTTTTGTTCATATCTTTTCTCTTTTAAGTTTAGTATTAATGTTTTGTTTTTATATAGTTATCTGTTTATTTATTTCTATTTTAATGATCCTTGTTTTCGTGTGCCGATGGCCAAATAAATGCATTTTCTTTCTTCTTTCTTTCTAAGTAAGGGAAAGTACCCAGAAGGCTGGCAGCATTGCCACGTTGTATGGCAATGCTTAACCTCTGACCGAGAAAAAGACCAGCCCTCTGGTCACGAAATAACGTTTTGAATAGAAAACCATTTATTGTTTTAACATTTAGGTTTTCGTAATATAATTTAATCATTAGCCTATAATGGACCCAAAAACGATTAAAAAAACGGAAAGTGACCTTCAAACCAGACGGTAAGAAAGCAAAGGCCTTTAGGTAGTCAGAAATACTTAAAAACCGACTCTAGTTCATTATAATAAGGGTGTAATTCCCAGAGTTTCAATAACATGAATAAACACATTTTTAGAAAAAGTTATAATAGTGAATTGATTACTTTTAGTAGATTTTTTAAAGGAGCTTATTGAAGCCGTTGAAGTGGGTTACTGTGGGTTGAATCACGTCTTTTAATTATCTCCGTTTAATACTATTTTATAAGGTTTCCATTACTAACATTCTAGTTAGTTAGAGACTCTGTCTACCTACGTTTAAGGTTTAAGAATTAACTGGTGTACGTAAAATCATAACATGACTGTGTAACATGTGGGCAGATATGAAATTGACTAATGCAATTAATGATACTAGTATAAACTACGTTTCAAAACCGACTTCAATCCCCTCTTCTTCTCTTCTCCAAATTGTAACAAACATTTTTTTGAAAACCGCATCAAATTCGGTTCAGCCAATCGCGAGATAATGGCGCACATACCTACATACATACATACATACAGGTCAAATTGAGAATGTCCTTTTTTTGAAGTTGCCGTTACAAAAAAATATGTCTTCATTCCAATAGTTACGGAATAAATGTCCAAATTCCTATAGATCAACAGTCAATGCGTTGATGATGGCGTGGTCCCGATCCTTAAGTCATCGAAACCACTCGTCAATTTTCAGTGCACCAAGTGTTTTTTTTTAAGGGGAAATCATCGAATGACTGTTTCCGCCTGGGTGAGGCGGAAGGGAATGTCAGACTCTTACTGACTAAAAACCACCCCGTTCCTTCTCCTGCACGTCGAGCCGGAGCCCCGGTTACCCGTTAGGTTCTTCGTGACAGTGCAATATGTGTAGGTATGATTTTACCTTTAATGTTACCTCTTGGAGACTTACTGCGATACTCAGATTTAATGATTATTTAAACTATTCCTTAGTAACGATTTTGTTCCGATAACAATTGCTAAGGACTGGGTTAAGTACCCATTAAATGACTCTAAGTACGGTGGTTAGCTACCTCTTTCGATGAATAATGTTAAATAATATGTTCAATGTTACTACATTTAATTTAAGTAACGTTTTTAAGTTAGCAACATTTAATTTATTTGTATTGTCTGTGAATTTAACTCTTCTCTCTGCTCTCTCTTTGTGGATACCTGCATGATGTAGTCGATGTGTGTAAAAGTAATACTTTTTGATTTAAATAAAACAGTTGTATGTAACTACAACACTTACACTACACGCATCATACACTCGCAGTTACACAGCATAGAAACACACACACTACTAGGCATTTTGTGAATAACCTTTTTTTTTTCTTCTACCCGAAATATTTTTTTTCTCTTATTCCTTTGTGTTTATGTTTGCAAACTTAATTGTAATACATCTTATATTTATTATGTTACACTTCTTTTCTTCCGTGGGGTGGGGACCTGGAGATTTGTAATACAGGTATTTTACACCCAACACAGACTCCAGCTCCTCACAATGCCATAAACATTGATTATAAAAAATTGTAATGCTATTACGTGTGTATGTGAGGAGAAATAAAGTTGTAATCAGTTACAGAGGACTATTATTTCAAAATAACAACAAATAATAAACAAGACACTATATCATTCTAGAAACAACAAGAGAGATAGAAAGCATAATTAATGATCTTGTTTCGTATAAATATTTACGACATTATAATTCCCGCGTCTGCTCTATTATCTTAAAGTCTACAACTAGATTTTCTTTATTAATATTCCCTAGACTTAGACTAAGACTAAGTATGTTATTAATGTGAGTCTGTGTTCGTGCCTGGGAGCTATATTAAAGGGTTTTAGAACGTGCACATTCTGTAGTATGATGTTATTGTTTTAATATTAACTTGCATTTGCTTCTGTAGTTTTGTCTACGTAAAAATTGAATTTAGAAGACTTCTCGAATAGATCCTAGTTAAGTGAGAATGCGAGGACTAAAATGTAGCCTTTATTACTCCCGCAAAAGTAAAATTTCGAATGTTGAATGAATTTAAAAAATCGATTCGTTAGTTTTGGTGCTTACTTCAATATAAGCAAACATAACACAATATTTGTTTAGAATATTATTTAGGTACATGTCTAGGTTAAAAGTAATATCAACAGGTCAATAGAATTTCAACCCTGTCATTTTGTAATAAACTCGAGAATCTTTTGAAGGCAGATAGGCATCGTTTTATGTGCTAGTCTATATGTAAATTGTGATACATTTAAAGGATTCGTGTGTTGTAAATAATTATGTACCTACCTTTGTAATGTTCGTGTATTTCAGGACTCAAATGAGATGTGTTGCCATGGAAATGAGCCGCTATGAAGGGCCTCCTCATGTCCTGAAACAAATAAATTGAGATTAAATAAGCCACCTATCCGAAATGAAGTAGCTCGTAGCTTTTGATTTAACATTTGTTTTCTTATTGACGTGTTGATTCATTCGAAATTCGAGGATTTATTTCCTGAGACATAAAGGTGCTTTATAAGTTAAATAGAAAAATAGGTACCCAACTAATACCAGCCTAACCCCATTCCAGATTTCCACTGCACGATCCAAGAAACTTTTTAATAAATAGCTGGGTAAGTACATACTGCCTCTTTGGCCGAGTGGTCGCAAGTGCGACTGCCGGGCAAGAGGTCTCGGATCTGATTCCCGGGTCGGGCAAAATATTACTGGGTTGTTAAAAAAAAGTCTCAGTAGTACCACAGAGTCTGGAATTATGCCGGGTATATAGCAATAGGCTCACCCCTTATTACATGGCACTCATAACATGAATCGTGAAAAGTAGGTGTTACATTGTGTAGAGGCATTAAGTGCCGTAACGTGCACCTCTACCTACCCTCCGCGGATGAAAGGCGTGATGTTATGTTATGTGTAAGTACATACCTCAAACTCGCTATTCCTAGCGGTTCTCGTGACTGTGTGCATCACCATCTTCGGGGTCTGAGGGTAGTCCAAGTTCGGGGAGAACTTCTTCGTTTTGCGTCTAAAACAAAAAATTAAGTTTGTAAAAACTTTTTAACAAGTTAATACTTTCTTTGAAAGAAGTTAAAAGGGTGGCGGGAATTTATCGTACAAGTAAGTAGGTAAAGTTATTATAACTTTGTAAGTACATCTGTATATCACATGTGTAAGTCTGTATTGGTGAATTTTAGTCTAGACTAGACTGATTGATATGAGACGTTGTTGGTTTTTGTTTTCGAAATTCCGTATTGCCACATTCCATTATCTATACCTATATATAAAAACAAATATAACGTTTCCCGTTGTCACGCTATGGCGTGGCTAAGTGGCTAAGTTATGACTTAAGAAAGGCTAGACCGATTTGGTTGATTTTTTTTTGTGTTTATTATTGTCAGGAGAAAGTTCTTATGACAGAAATAAGACCTGAAAATCCTACGGGAATGGGAGAAACTGGATTGCGCGTACGAAGTCGCGGACAGAAGCTAGTCTAGAATAGAATAGAGAAAAAGGAAATGACAATCATAAATAAAAAAAAAATAATGGGCACAAAGGCGGTCTTATCACTTATAGACATAGTCATTTCTACCAGACAACGTTTGTATCACCTAAAGTGATTTCTACCAGATACCTAGTTATGTATAGGTAGTTGAAGGAACTATACCTACAATGCCTGTAAATATTGAATATAATTTTCATGTATGACAACAAACTTATTGAAAAAGATCCATATAGGTAAAGCTTAGGATACACTAGCCACGACGTCGGGTAAAGTAGCGCGACGTTGCAGGACGTTGTTCGACATGTCAGGCAACATTATCGTCACTGTAGACATAAGGCGCGCGTTGTCACTGTATATGTCAGGCGACATCGGCCGGCTTCCCTCGATGTGTTGCCGATACATGGCTTGGGGCATTTGTCCCCTAGTGTCTCCCCAATTCCTGAATCCCCAACGATCCTCAAACTCCTAATCCCCAAAAGGCCAGTAACGCACCTGTAACGCCTCTGGTGTTCCAGGTGTCCATGGGCACCGCCGATTGCTTACCATCAGGTGATCCGTCTGCTCGTTTACCGGCTTATGCCACAAAAAAAGAATTTTGTTTAATTTTTTCGTTCTGTCCATCTATCTATCTCATAATAACCTGGAAATAGCCTATTTTTAGCAGTGCAAAAATTGCAACAAGTAATCGAATAACCTAAATATAAATATGTAAATAAAACACCAATACAATTTGTTCACGACGAAAACATCTAACAACACAATAATCACGTCGTCTAGGCGTATGTTCTTAATTTTACGAAGCTTATGAATATTCATACTTGTTCAAGTAAGTAGAAACTTGTTAAATTCTCTTCAGAAACTCGGTCCCTTCATAATTGCTCGACTATACAACTTGCTGTGGCTCCACCTGTTAGCTTTGCAACTAAGCGGCCTCAATAAGCGGCCAGGCGTAGGTAAGTTGTGACTACAAACTCCTTTAATTAAAGTAACTTAATAACTAAAAAACATAAGTTTTAATAATAACATTCACTTTGTATAGGTTCGAAAAAGAGTGCCTGCCGCCTTTGAGAAAGTAATTTTTAAGCTTTAAGCTTTTACTACATCATTTAATTAGATAAGTAACCATCATAAAATCTTAGTAGTAGCGCAGAGTCTGGAATTGTGTCCGGTATGTACTTAGTAATAGTTTGCCAAGTCAAAAATTTCAGTAAAATTGTCGCAATTCTGATGCCTGTACTACATCAAATTAATTCTATTATCTAGTATTTAAGAAGGTCTTTAATATAACATCACGCCTTTTTATCCCCGAAGGGGTAGGCAGAGGTGCACATTACGGCGCTTAATGCAACTGTACAATGTAACAACCACTTTTCACTATGTATGTTATGAGTCTCATGTAATAAGGGGTGAACCTATTGCCATATACCGGGCACATTTCCAGACTCCGTGCTACTACTGAGATTTTTAAAAACCCAGTAATACTTTACCCCGAAACCCGACGAAACAAAGTCGCACTTGCGACCACTCGGCCAACGAGGCAATCTTCTACTAAGTATTAAGTAGGTACTTCTTAAATAGTATTGATTTATCTCCAAAAATATTGCAATGTACAAGCTTCCGCGATACCCACTCAAAATGTACAATGTACAGCTATATATTTCGATCCTACTTCACAGTCGCAATGGCACTCGATATCCTCGATGTGAACGCAGGAAATTGAGAATATTATATTTGTTACGAACACCTTTTGTGCTGAATATTTCAAGGAAATATTTCCTGTGTCAATGCTTCTCTGAAGCAACAAAGTATATATTTTGTGGAGAGCGTCAAGATAGAACCTCTTTGGTAAGAGTAGTTGAAGCTACTGTCTTGCTTCATACCTTTTTGTAAAAATTACTAAACTTTAGTTAATATGTTCGTCATTTGATTTTGGATCTAGGTCAAATTATTAGGTTTATTTTTTGAAATCTGGTATTTGAACAGTAATATCAATTGACAATTACATTCGAGTATATTTAACCTAGGTTTAACTAATTGATAAAACCTCATCATCATCATCAACAGCCTATAAATGCCCACTGCTGAGCAAAGCCTCTTCTCACACGGAGAAGGTTTGAGCATTAATCATCACGCTTGGGGTTCACGATTGCGGGTTGGCGATTTCAAACTTATAATTAGAAATTATAGGTCCAGGTTTCCTCACGATGTTTTTCCTTCACCGTTTGTCAGTGGCGTCTAAATAATCTTAGAAAGTACATATAACTCGGAAAAAGTCACATTGGTACTTGCGGTTGGTAGGTTTCGAACCCGCACCCTCATGCATGAGAAGTGGGCGTCTTAAACCTCTGGACCACCACGACTGGATAAAATGGATAAAACCTATTTTTGACAAAAAATCAATGGAACTAATTACAAAAATCATCAAAATAGATTTCGGTGAGATCGCTTATAATTTGGCCCGTAAATGGTACACAATAATCATAATGTACTACAATCCGTGCCCTTTAGCTGAATAGGGGCATCACCTAACCTTCATATGCTATTTTTAGATGTCTGTAAGTTAATTCAAGGAAACTAACTTCACTAAGTTGTAATCCATCGCTTTGTCTACATGGTTACCTTAATCATACCGTTGGCCCGGACTTAAGGAGATCCTTTCTTAACAGTGCCTTTAGCCAAACGCCACTTTAGCGCTTGTCTACATGAAGAATAGAAAACCAAATTGTATGGAGTCGACGTAAATTTTGACACTTGTCAGTGTCATCCCCATACATTTTGATTTCTACTCTCTCTGTAGACAAGCGCTAAAGTGGCGTTTGGCTAAAGGCCCTGATTTTTATCGATTGTAACTTCATTATCTACTTTGGTTCATGAAGATTTTTTTGTATGATTCATCATTATTATTTGTATTGTTTAACACTGGATTAAGTGCTCCAATTAATAATTGTGTCATCCCTAGTACAACACGATGTCAAATATTTAGCAGTCGCGAATGAAGTGCTTTTAATTCATTCATTATGCTCATTAGTGTTCATTGAGTAACGCGATGTTTTTAATTAACCTATGAATGTGTATAATGAGATGATAATCAATTCATACAGAAATATTTCCCTTTTGATGAAGTGGAAAGTTCTCATGAAACTATTTAGCAAGCATAGAGGACATCTGAAACTCCAGAAGCGTTTTCAAGAAGTGTGCAGGATGCGGAGATTGGGGACACTGTATTTGGTATTTGGGCCTTCGGTAACCTCACTCACACGACGAAACAGAACGCAAGCGTTATTTCACATCGGTTTTCTGTGAGGCCGTGGTTGGTATCACTCCGGTCCAGACTAAATTGGTTTTAATTGATGTTAAGACCAGTTTATGAAATTTCAGATCAATTTAAGATTGCGAGAAGTGAGGATGGTAATAAAATAGCAATATTTTAACATTATTATAATAATAAGCGAATATTTCTCGTTATGAAACCTGAGAGCGTTGTGGTCGCATTCCTGGAGGTCTACTCCGATTCGACGAAAAACGAAGTTTCGGACGAAAATTCAAAGATTACCTACCACAATGACATATAAACGAACGAAAAAGGAATGAAACAAGCCAGAAATTAGTATGAGATGTACTGTTTGACGTCGATATTTTCGGAACCCTACTCTGGTTGTACAATCCGCACGAACGAAAATTCGAGTTTGACAGATTATTCTTCGGACGTTTAATGTCATTTCGACGAAACCAAAATAGTTATCGTTTGATTTTCGTTTGAGTTAAATTTTATTAAAAAATCAATGAAAGTAATTGCAAGTCTTCGTTTTATCACGGTTTCTTCGTGTGGGCAACACATAGGGCACCAAAGAAACCATTTAAATGACGATATAAAATCAATGTACAGTCAGCTCAAATAGTTTGTTAACACTAACCTATATAATTTTACATGTCTATGAGAGTTAGTAACATTTACGGTAATCAAATACTCATTTGAATACCTTATGAATTGTACATAAATGTTTCATGTGTAATGTTTTATTTTAAAACGAATAATACCGCTAGAAAAATAAACTTAAGTATTGCTAGTACATATTTTCGCTATTATTTCACATTTATTAATGTAACAACATTTATAGATAAGATAAATTCTTTCAAAAATATATTGTTAACCATCATAACATGAAATAATTTATTGTCTTCAAATTCTCATGTAGACATTTAAATTTTTTAACTGAGTGTACTAATATAATACGAATAAATTTGGTTGACATTATTTTATAAATAAATGTCAATAAATGACATTCTTAAACTTTTTAACTTGGTCGTATAATAAATCTTTAAAAGGAGGTTTTTATCCTGTTTAAGATTTTCCATCTTAAACCTTAATATTAAAAGCTTATTCATGATTTTCTTGATGATTATGTGTGCTAAGCTATGACATTATCGTTTTAGTTTTATAATTACTTAAAATAAAATTTTATTTTTAATTTCGAATCTCAACCTTTTTATTACCTATTTATTTATCTTCACTTCATTCGTTCATTGTAGAATTCATTCGTTCACGAAAGTTGTCTATGGTTCCGAAAACGTTGTTTGCGGCCGCAAATCAAACGAAACTTCGCATTCGAGAACCGGAGTAGACCTCCAGATTGCTTCGCGCGGAGACGAACGACCGTCACTTGATGTACAGTTCTACATACTTAAATGTTTTTATATGAAAAACATTTATTTATGTGAAAGGTCACTTATAAATACTGTTATAAGCATAGACAAAAAAAACGAAACGTCATCGCGTAGCGCGAAAATGTAATCTGTGGTTCGAGAATTGAAAAAGTAAAGATGGCGGGAACTCGTCCTATTTGGTGTCGAGGGAATTTTAATCTATTTGAAAGTCTATTACTAATTTGCCTATTTGTGTTTTTGTTGTTTTTTTTCCAATTACCTAATAGTTATGGTTTAGCTAGACCTGGTTTTGTAATTTGATTTCGATGTTAACAATATAAGGTGCATTGTAATGGTGGTATCTACTCTTTAATTTCCATGCCTTCTGAGTTTCTAAAATCCAATGTGATTTAAAACTAATAAGTTTCTGATATCAAAAAGTAAGGTAAAGTCTATGCAAGTTTTTAAGTTTTCTAATAAAACATAATAAAATTGCATTGTTTAGTGCATGCTATCCTAGATTAGGTATATTTCGACTTCTTGTTCGTGGATTTTGATCTTAAATACTTAGGAATACAGGGTAAAGCGGACTGTAGTTGATGGAGTTTTCGGTATTGTGTAGTATTTCTATGTATAGTAGGTATGTTTGAATAAACTTATAAAACTATTTGTTTCATGGATCAAGCCTGTAAAGTGTTTTAGAAACTCAGGTAGACCTTTGAAGGTTAAGAAGCTTAATAACTTACTTCAATGGCTAATTTTAAGTTGAGCCTACTCAAGTTTAAGTTATTGAGGATATTACATCAGTTTAAAATTCTTCGTTTAAAAATAAAACTATAATTATAGTCTGCTTCGTTGGCCGAGTGGTCGCAAGTGCGAGTGCCGGGCAAGAGGTCTCGGCTTCGATTCCCAGGTCGGGCAAAGTAATACTGGGATTTTTTTTTTAAATCTCAGTAGTAACACGGAGTCTGGATATGTGCCCGGTATATGGCAATAGGCTCACCCCCTATTACATGGGACTCATAACATAAATAGTGAAAAGTGGGTGTTACTTCTATGTGCACCTCTGCCTACCCTGTTATGTTATGTTATGTTGAAGACATTCAGCACAATCAATTGAATGATTCTTTATGAGTTTCTGTCTATGTTTGTTACTCAATGACGTCAAAATAAATGAAGCCATCGAGATGAAATCTGGAACGCGGGTAAATTATAGTCTGGCATAACACATAAGATACATTTATTCTATGAGAACGCGGGCGAAGCCGCTGGCAGAAGCTAGTAAATCTATAGCTTATACCAATCACCAACAGGGTGGTTTTGTCACAAAATATCGAAATCTATACTAGTTTTCATCCGACTGTACCAACATACTCGCTCCATTTATGTATAATTATACGCACAGGAATTTGCGGTCAGCATTGCATTTAGAACTAGCTCTGCTAGTCTGTCGATTATGAAGATGGGGTTTAGTTTAACGAGTTGTTCTAGCCAGAACATCATGTTTGTTAAAGTATGAGTATGAGTATTCTACTGGAATATTAACTTTAATAATATAGACAACAATAAAATGTATGAAAAATTCTGTGGTATAAAGTTCTAGAACTGTATGAGAACATACCTACATCTAATGCCATAAGTCATCGTAAAAAGAAAATGTAGAAAGCGTACCTCTTTCTTCTTAAATGAGGTGGTATGTTTGTTACTTTTTATGCAACGCCTACTGAACGGAGGTCCGTGCAGTATACAGTTAGCCTATGTTTAAGGCCGTCTTAGATTACGCTGGGGCTCTTAGACACACAATAATTCAGGGCCCTTTTGGAACGTTCCCTTTTTTTAACGTTGCACCACACTAGGATTTGCTCCTGTATTGTGGGTGCATTTGCCAACAGCCAAGTTCATATACACATGACACCCAGACCCGGAACAACAATGTGTGGACCACATAAAGATTTTTTATGGGATAAGCCGGTAAACGACCGCACGGATCACCTGATTTGCGGGAAACGAACCGTTGCCCCGCAAAGTGTAGAGGTTGTATGTCTGTCGTAGAAATTGGCGATCCTCCGGGGCCCCGTGAGGATGTGGGGCCCTGGGCACGGGCCCCGAACGCCCTTAGTGTAAAGACAGTATAGCATACGAGTAACGCTTTGCAAAACCACTAGCAGAAGCTAAAAGTTAGTATCATAGTAAAGTCTCCTTCAATTACCTGTCATCAGTCTTGGCCGTGACCCTGGGTGCCGCGAACTCATCAACAGCTCGGGAGTCAGGGAAGACGCTGCGCTTGTGTCGGGAGCCTTCCTCTTCTGTTGGTTTAGTCGGCTTCACTGCTGCTTGGACTGGCTGGAGCTCTGGAAATAAGAACAAGGATATTAAATAACTGAGGACCTTCATACCTCTGCATGGAGCTTTAGAATTTCTTTTAAACTCCCAGAGCGAGGAAGTAATGCCATAACGTACACAAAATTGACGCTTTATTAAGTCGAAACAAAAATATCGGGTTTGACCTCTAAATCGGAGAGGGGAAAAGTATGACAAGTCTGGAAGTAAGAGAGTATAAATGATTTTTGTGGATGAATAAGAGGCAAATGAGCAGACGGATCACCTCATGGGAAGCGATCAGCGCCGCCCATGGACCCACAACACCAGAGGAGTCATAGGTGCGTTGCCATTGTATGAATACTTAATTCTATCTTTTTCAACCCATTGAAATTAACAAATCCACATAAAAAGATTATTACTACACACTTTTATAGAACTAGAACATACTTTTAATCATATATTCCACTTAGGTGCTATTGCACCTGTCCCCAGGCTGTCGTTCGTTTATCTAGAACTAAATATAAAACCTTTATAGCATTAAACTCTTTTACTTGTGGAACCTATGGGAACATCTCTCGTCTCATCAACTGGAGTGGTTTTAATCTAATGATATTGTTATCAGTGACCTGCCATTCTGTTTGTAGAAAACATTTCGAAATTCCACAATTGGGTTGCAAAAGTGTATTTTAATTGTATCCACTTTTACAATTATAATGGGTTTTTAGACTTTTTATCATGTCAAATCATGATGGTTTTGGTTTCATTACTGGCTGCTAATCATTGTTTAGTAAATCTAATTGTATTTGTTATATTGTACCCGATATGCATGCTATCTTACTACCACGCAATCATTGGATTATCAAATCTCATAAAATATATTGATAGCTCTTAAATGTATATCAACATTCCGAAAATATAGAACGGAAATCATAAAAGTTTGTTGTTCAAAATTTTGCAGTTGTGGTTGCAAAATGAGTCAGAGTTATGACTAGCGGTTTCCTATGACCCTGATCGGTGCATATATGTACACGTAATTGGTATTTTAAAGTTGGCAATACTAGAATTTTGGCTATTAATAGATCGTAATGAGTTTCGATTGAATCCGCGGCGGTGAGACGGAATTTAGATGTGTCGTGAATTCGAATTTGTGTTTCCAGAATGTTTTGGAGACATTTATATAAAGTTTTATTTCATATATAATTAGTTTTTCTTTAAAATCTTTTTCTTTATGTATCCCGACACTAGAATTGAGTGTATTTACAACAACATGCACATAGGTAACATGTTACAACCAGACTCCAAACAACAATTTGTGTATTACCCATCGAACAAATACTAAATAGTTTCATACTTAGCTAGTAAGTATATAAACGCAGCTGTGATATTATAATATAAACAATTAAATCCGTTTTTAGCTCGGAAAGTAAAGTAATCCATTACAATAAAAGTCTTAATTTCTTAACAATTCTCAAGTTAAAGAAAGTTACAAACTTCTTTGGAAATCCACAACTATTTAAAGCTTGATCGTTTGATAACAGAAAGATTAAATTGTTTTACAGGCTTCTAGAACTTCGATACTGAGTTTCAAGTTCGTTTAAATCCATCAGACTTGCCAAATAACGTTATAAAAATAACCACTTTCCTTTGCGATTTCAAAGAAAGTTTGGGACGAATCTGATTAAGACTTTCAGCCGAAATTAATCACTGATCTTAATCGAATATCTCTGTATTGATCTGGGTTTTAGACAGATTAATGTTTTAAAAGGCATTTATTTATTAACCTAATTGGTCTTATAATAGAAGTGGAAGAAGAAAGAAACACTTAGTCATACCAAAGTGTCCCTCGTTTAGTCTTTCATTGAAAAATAGGGGATATGCAGTACTTATGTACCTCTGTTTTGTTATATATATTTTATTTTCTTCTGTGTATTGTCTATGTGGTGTACATGAATAAATAAATAAATAAAATATATGATATGTTTCCAATAGGTATTATTTTTTTTTTTAATTTGGCATTGACCTTAACATTGCTATTTTAGGTTTTATTTCGGATTCTCAACATAAGAATACTTTTTTTTATTGCTATAAGCAAACACGACCAACTTCGAGAACCATGTAATAAGTTCGCAATAAATGACGAATCTATTCATATTCCAGTTACTGAATAAAATTATAAGTAGCTTTTATAGTACTTCGTATAACATAATGACAATAAAGGAACATTAAAAGCAAATTCAATGCGTTGAAACGTTATAAATATGAAATGACAAAGATTGAAAATGGCGGTAAGAAGCTTAACGTTCATGGCAGTCTTTCAACAAAATTCTATAAGTACAACTTTCAGCTTTTCAGGAAAGTACTGAAGCTTTTCATAATACTTTTGAAGACTGATTTTTACTAGGCTTGGCTCAGAAAATGAGAAAATACATTCCTATGTATAAGTAAAGAGGGTTTGTCTGTGTTACGAAAATTAGTCTTTTTTTTAAGGGGGAAAATCATCGAATGACTGCTCCCGCCTGGGTGAGGCGGGAGGGAGTGTCAGATTCTTACTGACTAAAAAACACCCCGTTCCTTCTCCTGCATGTTGAGCCGGAGTCCCGGTTACCCGTTAGGTTCTCCGCGACTCCGAATGGGCATCGGCCTTGTTGGGCTGGCTTGGTGGTCTGATGGCTCTTTGTGGCGCGCGCGGAACGCGACGCGCCGTACGTTCGGACGAAAATTAGTCTAGCAATGCAAAGACGTTGAGAGAAAGGTGGACGTAATGTAGTGAAGCACCGAACTGATTTTTATAGAATTCCCCTAGATACAGCATATCTACGATTGGGAGCTGTTGTATTGCCAATTAAGTAAGTTTTTTAATTATCATTATTATATTTTTTAATGATGTGTATTGACCGAATGACCGAATTGATTTTTTTCCGACCGAAATTGAAAACTGTTGAAAGCCACCTGAATCTAGAGTCTCCAAGGCTTGCCATCAGGTTGTCTGTCAATTATTCTTAAACGTAAAATCTTTCCAAGATGATAATAGTATTCTTACCTGGCAAGTCAGGGTCTTCCGGGTTCTCATTCAGTCTTCTCTTGATCTCCCCGATATTGGTCAACACAGGCTTGTCTCCGAAGGCCACGTTGTCCACGAAGTCTTCGGGCCGAAGGTGCACCATGTTCGTTGTGCCAACCTGAAGCAGATTGAAGATATGTAAGTTTTTTTTTAATGGTGGAACCTCATCGAATGACTGCTCCCGCCTGGGCGAGGCGGGAGGCAGTGTCAGACTATTACTGACTAAAAACCACCCCGTTCCTTCTCCTGCACGTCGAGCCGGAGCCCCGGCAACCTGTTAGGTTCTCCGCGACAAGATAAGTAAGTATTAGGACTTCATTTGTGTTACAGTCTGAAACTGCTAAATAAATGAATAGTCGGATATGAGATAAGAGAAGTTGTGTTCCTAACTTGGAAAAAATTCATATAACTTGTCTATAAGTACTATATCTGTTAATACCTATCATAGTTAAAACAATGTATTTTGTATTTTAACAAAAATTGGAATGTAAGACATCACGTATGCTATTCTCCCTCAAGGATTAAATTTTAAATTTAAAGTAGAATGTAGCATCAATTTTTTGCAACTCTCATAGTTTCGCGATACGAATTTACTTTAGGTATGCTTTGGGTATGATAATAATCCGGAGTTGGTGACCCAGTGGGTTGCTGGAGCTCCGGCTCGAAGTGCAGGAGTAGGAACGGGATGGTTTCTAGTCAGTAAGATTCTGACACTCCTTCTCGCCGTATTTCAGATAGGAGACGCCTTTGGGAGATATTTTCCCCTCAAAAAAGTACGTTACTAATAAGTGTATTGTAATCAATGCCATTAATGAAGTAAAAATCTTAAAATGTGATCTGTCAATTTTGGCATTGAATTAATTCGTGTAATCTAATTCAAGATCATCATTCAATCACCTAATTCATTCATTTATTGCCGAAATCAAGTATATCAATAAATAATGTATGTTGATGACTAATATAATGATTTACATAACACTATCATTATTCAATATTTAATGTCAATGAATGAAATTAGGAATTTTAATTTTAATACTGGCGCCGTCTGGATTTCTAAAGAGCGTCCCTAACACGCACGTTAGACGGATATGTCACTCGTAGTTTGTGAGGCAGCTAGACGAAGTTTGTTGCAATTTGTCTGGAAATGAAGGGATATTCGTAACATTTCGAGATCTCTGTGCAGTGCTAGAGGCACATTGAGTCTCACTGCAGTAAGAGTCCATAATTATGAACATAACCCTTTGAGTACCGTCATTATAGACACAATTAAAGAACAATAGGTTGCGGTCACCGGTGTCCTCGCGGTGTTTGACAGTTTAAGATAGAAAACGAAAGTTAGAAGAGAGATATGATCACAAAATTTCAGACGGTTGTTGATTGCAGATGACATCCTATAGTCTCCAAAAGTAATTAAGGAACTAATTTACTTAATAATAAATTATACAACACGTAGCTGTTCTAGTTACTGTTTAATTTACTCCTTAATACTCTGAAGAAGATGAAAGAAAGTAATTCGCAACACTTGAAAGAAGAACAATGATCCGAATTGTTCTAAAACAAAGCTTCGATAAACCGTTCACCGTAAATAAAGAACAGGAAACAATATGAAAGCTTTGAAAGAAATTACTAACAAAAATATACAGAAGGACAACAATTATTTAGCAAGCAAATTGTATTGTATTGATTGGATTCTTGACATTATAAACGGCCTTGCTTAAAAGCCTAAATTAATGAAATTCGATTATTATTAATTTTTTGTGTATGTGATTATGTTTTCGTAATGTGAATTTGATTGTCTCTTTTTTTGTACCTATATTAAATTTCAGACACAATGTAAATTGTTAAATGAATAAATAAATAAATGAAATGAATTGAGAGATGACCTTAATTTGATAAGTGGATTCACTTTATACTAGAAAAGCGTAGATATAATAATTTGGACTTACTATTTCTGCTAGTTTAAATCTTTATTAAGAATACGTAAGAAATATACATGAAGTAAATAGATGTACTCATCTCTCCTAGCAACGTAACTAAAAACTGCAAGTGGTGACTTTGTAAAAGTAATGAGACAAAACAATGCATAGAAGTACAGAGAAAGTGTAATAAGCCTAATTACAAATCTACCAACACTTAAAGCAGACGCCATCACTATTTTGCAAAACAAAAGATACCCTTTACGATCTTCAGTTAACATACAAATGGGCCTTTTGAATTTGTTTATTTAGTGACTTGAGTCGGTAAATGGAAAGCGGTAAGTGCTCCCGATGATAGCGATCCGGTAAAAATATAGGCAGATGATACATTTTCGAAATTCAACAACAAATATTGAACGGGCGGTGTTGAAATGTTTTAAATATTTGAAAATGAAATTATTTGTGATTCGTTTTTGTTAGCGTTGAGAAATAAAAGGGTATTTTAAAATGGAAGGATTAAAACAGAGCTGAAGAGAATTTCTTGGGTAGGAAATGTACAAGACTCAGTTTTTTTTCTTATCAATGCTATATGCAAATCCTACCGATATCATGGTTGTGCAGGACGACGGACGTTAGAGACACTAAGCTTTAGGTAGTAAGTAGTTATTAGCTTTATTCCACAATCAGCCGTCATTTTATTCCATAATCATATTACCCATGACCGGCGCACGAGGTGTGTATAGAATAGACGCACAATGGTCCAACAGCTTTTATAATCCAATCGAAGAACTTGGCTACTTAACTTATAGGTCAATAATAGGATTTGAAGATGATTATGTTCAGGATAAGTTTAAGATTGACTGCCTCGTTGGCCGAGTGGTCGCAAGTGCGACTGCCGGTCAAGGGATCTCGGGTTCTATTCCCGGGTCGAGCAAAGTATTACTGGGTTTTAAAAAAATTCTCAGTAATAGCACGGAGTCTGGAATTGTTGGTATATGGCAATGTACAGTGGCATAATGTGCACCTCTGCCTATCCCTTCGGGGATAAAAGGCGTGATGTTATGTTATGTTAAGTTTAAGATATTGGCTTAAACTCCAAAGTCACAGAAGACTATGTAAGGTTGATCTTCACTGTTTTTTATGAACCCGTTTAAAATGTCCCATTCAATCATCCGAAAGCCTTGAGAGATCGTTGCTACGACGCTTAAATCTCAGTGAAATATCAAATAAATACAAAGTGTTCTTCAAAAAGCACTCAAAATAAGCGATTGTCGAAAGAGGCTTGTCAAGAAGAGGCGGCAATGAGACGGGAGCGACGGACAAACGAGAGCCACTTGAAATATTTGCACCACTCCTAAATGTATACGCAGACGAAAGATTTTTGTCAATTGATGACAAATAAGAATTACCGGTCCAGGGAGTAGTAAATAGATCCACTCAGAACTCAGGGGTAGTTTTACAACAGAAACCAATCTCATATTCTTAACCCAAAATCTTAGAATTAGGGGCAAGTCCCTTAACGCCGAACGGTTGTATTATCTAAGAAAGAAAGAAAGAAAGAAAAGAAAGGAAAACCATTAATTTGCTACGACACACAACAAGAATTTGAAGGAAGGAACACACAAAAAGCCTATGGTGCGTCGCAATGCAGGCTGGAGCTCAGCTTAATACCGATCTAGATAGCTAATAGCGCAAGCAATTCAATTTTTAGGAGAAAGTCTCCCAGTGGCAGTCACCTAAGATTTTTAGTAAAAATTGAAGCGCACATGTTATCAGTTATCGTTATGTGCCGTGCGGCGTTACGGGACTTTCCCCTAATCAACCAACTTATGCCCTTATCAGCAATTGTTAAAGTTTGTGTCAAAAGCTTAAATTTAGAACTGAAACTTCTTTCAATAACTAAAAAATCTATAGAGATTTTGTCCTCTAAGAATGTGTATTGTTATAGTACTCAATGGATAGTTGCTAGTCTGCACAGTTCTTGAATGCCATCAGATGTTGGTATTAACAGGATCACTGACACATTGCTATGGGATATCAAATTCATATAGAGCCCAATTTAGAATAAGTTCAACGACAGGGAAAGGTGAGATCAATGATTGGAAGAAATGTAATTGGAGTGAAAAAGGTCATATTTTTACGGTGAAAAAAATTCGCAGACAAAGATATTATAGTAGAGGTACATAGTGACGTTGGAAGACGATCAAGAATAATATGACGCATTTACAAAACTTGATACTAATGCTCTCAAATACTAATAGAATCTATGTTTCATTCATATTTTTATTAACTTGTAATGTAATAAATTATGAACCAGATTACCAAATTTACATACCTAGTCAAGATTATCAATGAAATCAGCATTAATATTTAGGTACATTCATAAATAAATAAATAATTCAACATCTTCGGAAAGAGTCTGAATTATTTTTAATGAAATTAATGTAAATATTCTGATTATTTGACAGTAGAACATTTTTCAAGACAGGGAAAAATACGTGCTAGAATATAAATTAGGTAATAAAAGCAATTAGGTAAACACGATTGTGCATTTTATGAGACGTACCTCACAAAATAAACCCATATAAGGAAACTAACCAAACAACCAAATCCTTGTTAATGTAGGTAAATAACATTTGTCTATGTAGGCAGGATATAATACCTATTTATTTGCACTAATATAATAATGTCCGAAAAATAAAACCGATTTATAATTCATTCTGTTGGATATCTTTTGCGATATATATGCGAATTGAAATGTGATAAAAATACTATCAAGTATGGCAGTTATACGAGCCATGTACTTACCTAAAATAATTATATTTTGAATAACACACAGATAAAATGTCTTGTACACAAATAATGGTTAACACTTGAAAGAGAAAACACGAAATTTAATTATTCTAGCGTGGTAAACAAACGTTTTAGAGTAAACACTCAAACATTCATATTATTCATAAATAGTAACAGATTCATGACGAAAATATAAACATTTATTTAGAAGAGATTACCAAATACTTTACTCTAGGACAATTCCGTTTAAATATTCATGAAATCACAACATATATATGTACGAATACAACATAATATTACGATGTATTCCCAAAAGATAATGCGCGGGTAAATTGTAACCTCAAAATGTTACTTTAAGGTTAGGTTTTAATCCGCCATTTTGATTTCACTTGCATATCGATTTTCTTATTAATTTCCTTGACAACGAAGCTGATGCTTAATGGATTTTGTACATGAATTATTAATGTTTATTGTGATTAAAACAAGTCTTATGTAATCTGTTAAGTATAGGAATATGTAAGCGCATGTGTGATTGCCTTATCTTTTTAATAGATTTTATTATTAGATTCCTCTTAGGTGGAAATATGAACAAATCTTACTTTATCACGTCATACATATTTCCATAAAAATCGCGTAAACAAACGACCTTTACCAGCTTTTAAATACCTAGGTAGCTACTTCAAATTGTATTAGCATATATTAAAATAGTTCTGACATCATACCATACGAAATCTCAAAGGATTTGTTTAAAACCCTTGTCTTCTATTAATTTCTTATTCCTTTTGTTTCTTAATTATATTATCCTATTATAATTTGTTTTATTAAGATTTTTATTAATAATTTAGATACCTATTAAATTACGTAATTCATTATATGTATTAGCTCTTCTTCAATAACAATACAGGAAACTACCCAATTTTAATACATTATCTTCACCAGGAAAAACTCAAGAACATTTCTCCGAAGTTAAAGTCTTCAAAATACAAAAGTACGAAGGTCGTCACTCTACAGACTCTCCAAACTCAAATAAACTTATCGTGTTCACGTTAACACGTTCGTAAATACTTTCTTTAAGTATTAAACGCCAACATTCCCAAAATCAAGACCAATTTTCCTGTTTGAAAGCATTCAGATTATTTACAAAAGGAATTCACAATTAGCACAGAATTTTGAACATTTCAATACGTTTTCCATTTCGAAGAAAACATCAGAATTATTTCCTCAAAGATTTTCCGTAAATTCGTTTTGTCTAAATTAAGTTAAAATATCCGGATTTCAGTTATGGTTACTTGAACAAAAAAGTAAGTAATGAAATTAATCAAGTTACTTTTTTTCGTTTTAAAAATTTCTCTTAGATTTTTCTAAAGTCACTTTGTAGACTGAAACAAACATTTTTATGAAATTAAACTAATATTTGCAGTTACTTAAATATATGTGCAAATAACTACGTATCTAAGTGAAGATAGCAAAGAGTAATAAAAAAAGAAAACTACTTTCGACATTTAAATAACGACATTCGTTATTTAAACTTTTCTTTCTTTTTTCTTTATAATATCTGACCTTTTCGTCTATTTTTAGTCTACGTTTAATTACTTGTGAATCGCTTTTTAAAAAAAATATAGATTTAAAAATTAATTAATAAAGTAAAGAAACAGTGTTGTCTCGTATAGAACTCGTTGTATCAAGAATTATTAACTGAAGCGTGACGACGTGTGCGACATCTACCTTGAACCCTGACCGCATCACTAATACGACCAACTATTTACTTTGTTTATCACCTTTATTATGGTCTAAATTAATGAATAGACGTGAACAGATTATTATTGTATAGTTACTCAATTCAATTTTAAAATATTTATACTTGTCTGCAGTAGATTATTTTATGGGAGTTATTTTTTTCTTAAACTTTCTCGCTGGTGTTTACTGCATCTCCTAACAAATTATGAACGCAACAAAAACATTGGAGTCATATCGGTTGGGACGTCCTTTGGTGCCGTGGACTGCGGTAGTCATACCTAAATATAGCGTTTGATTTTTATATACCAACAATATTTTAACGCATTACGTCTGATTAAGAAGTCGAAAATAATGTATGATTAATGAATATGTATGTACCTTTTTTAATTATTTTTTTTTTTTTTTATAGGGACAAGCCCGCCACAACCTCCCAAAACCGCTGCAACTCCTGTAAGCCAGGATCTACAGTAGATACAACCATGAAAACACCGGAACACTGAAGTCCGGCGCGTCCCAGGGACATGAGTAACTGTCTTGGTTCCCGCAACGAAATGAATCAGAAGATATTATAAGAGGAGAAGAAAAAACTATAGTTTCCACTTCCCTCGGTGAATTTCTGCAGGAGACAGAATGAATTAAGCCTAAAGGCACAAAGAAGAGACTGTACAACTGGGTGAAGCCCAGTCGCCAAGCACCACGGAAATTTGACTAAAAAACTAATTTTTTAATTAATTAGGAAAGTATACCACATTCAACTTTAAAAAAAATAGCAGTTGCGCGGTGTCTGGAATTCTGTCCGGTATATGGCAATAGGCTCACCCCCTATTACATGGAGCTCATAACATAAAAGTGAAATGTGAGTGTTACACTGTACAGTACTACTAATGTGCACCTCTGCCTACCCTTTCGTGGATAAAAGGCATGTGATAAAGTTCAATGTACATTGTACACTCAACTTTTTCACCTCGATCACTAGCTATTACTTAGTTGCTTTTTCATTTCAACTTTAAAAAAGAAAATACTTTGCCCCGTCCTAGAATTTTCTCCTGTGTCGTGGGTACGTTAACAAACATACAAGTTCACATACACATGACACCCAGACCCGGAACAACAATTTGTGGTTCACACAAATAGTTGTTCCGTGCGGGAATCGAACCCGTGACACGTTGCGTGTCGTCCGGTTGCCCAGCCACCGCACCAACCGTGCCGTAATTAGGATTTTAAAGGCTCTCTTCGCCCGACTTTTAGTAAAACCTCTTATACTACAAAACCAAGGCCATTGACTTCAACTACTTACATGCTGTGCCCTCTTATCATAATCAGGGTACCAGTCTCCACTCTCAGCATCGTCTCCCGTATCCATAAGGTCCTCGTCATCCCCCAGATTGTCATCTTCCAGCACCGTTAGACCGTGCAGCTTCTCCAGAGAGTCATACGCTCGGTCCTTTGTGTCATCCTTGTCATCCACTATGCTGCTGATGTCGTCATCTGCGTAGATCTGATGACAAAGAAGTTTGTATTTAGAGATAGGATCTTGATATCTTTCGGATAATTTTTATTATATTATAAGTATTTTTATTATGCACTAGCTTGTGACATTTGTGTAATTAATATCCTAAAATACTAGTAAGGATGCCTTTTTTGTTGATGGTTGAAAGGTTCCCTTTCAAATGGCGTCTAACTTTTTAGGGAAAAATACTACGGAGTATGGAATTTTTAGCTCACTAAAACCTCCCCGATGGCCAACATCCATACCTGAAGTAGGGACTGGGTCCTCAAAGGCATTTAATTTTTTCTAATTTATAATTTGCCTTGAGTTTAAGTCCATATTTCACTCTACTTTCCTATAAGGGATTATGATTTATCACGAATCAGTGTAGAGCACCCGAAAATACTTAATAAAATAAAATTATCTAAAAATTAGACCAACTGACGAATGTTAACAAAAAACTCAGCTACCTTTACAACAACAATAAACTTCGCTCCATTTCAAACTGTAATCAGAATTTAGAGGCTACAAATGTAGACCGGGGCCTAGAGCCCACAGTCCACAAGGAACCGTGTGTAGAAACAATAAAACGAATAGAACATCTAGAACATTCCATTACTCTCCATTAGCTGAACAAGGGAACACTACACATCACAACAAGCTATGCAAAACCAGTATAAACTGACCGTTGAATATACGGAAAGATTACACAAACCAAGACCATCATACAATGGTCTTGTATAGTTCGATATGCATGCCGTGCGTACAATACACGAGGACCTACAAGAGAACAGGATTATTTTCTTTTACTTTTCTCTCAAAACATTGAACGAATGCAATCAAACAATGTTGTTACAGGAGAAAGCTTTTGATTTTGATTCAATTACTTTTCATTTATTACAGAAATCTGAGGAAGTGTTTTTATTCGCCTTTCTATACAACTTCGAATGTAGATTGCAATGGTGTGGAAATAAAACAAAATGATATCGGTTTTTCCACATAAGGAAAGGTTGTTCGCCAACGCTATTATAATTTATAAGACAGACATAGTTCAAATATTAAAACTCACTTATAAAAACTAGGAATCATTTCTTGACTTTAATTCTAAACGTTACTCTTAAGACTATTAACTAGATCAGCTATTATTCAAGGTAAAATTCAATAAAAAGCGACCTAAAATCACAAGCATTAGAGACGCTTTTATTGAACACCTTTAAAAGTATTTCCAAACGACTGTTAGCCATTAATGCCGGTGTCACGTTTCGAGCACCAAAGTGGTTTACCTTTACTGATAAAATGAGAACTTTCAGGTGTCTAGTTGTGATCATGACAGCTTAACCCACTTTTACGTTTCATCTCTTTAAATTGATAGAATAAGCCGTCACTCGTTTCGTGGCTCTTAAAATCGGATTGAAAGACTCGCGAACTTTTCTTTACACATTTATTCAATACCCACACCTAATCTTAAGGCAATAAGGTTTCTAATGACACAGCATCAATCATAATAAAGTCGTAATACCAACATCTTCAAGACGCAAACAGAAATCAAATTAAACATATTACAAAACAAATTAAATAGCAATTTCTGTACAGTGTAACGCAAGAATTCAATTATACAGAACCCTTGAAGGTGATTAAAGCAATTTGTCATCACAAGTGATCCCTGTCAGTGACATGTTCATACAACTCTCTGTGTAATTGATGTGAAAGATATGTGATGTATGATCCGTCATGAAGCTGCGGACAGAAGGACCAAGTTTGAAAAAAATGTAGTCTTTTGATACACAAGATTAAGCTTAGAAGATATAAGAATCTTCGTGTAGTTTTGATGATTTGTTTAATAGTTAAATTGTTAGTCTTGTAAATCGCTTATGGTAGCTTTTGTTTGGGAGTTTTGAACAGTATAGTATGTTGTTTTTTCCTGAACATACGACTAATCGAATCACATCGAATGGAGGACTTGTACAATCACACTTCTTCTCACCTGATAATCTATAAATCATGTCCACACGCCATATATGTATATCAATAAATTTTTCAGGTAAGTTTATGAATCTTCTGTCTATTTATATCCTGTTCCCATGGGCTATCAATCATAATAAATGATTGTACGATGGTAATACGACGGCCCTTAAAATATTCCTTCAGGGTATCTATATCAAACAGAATGGTTAAGTAGATTTTCTTGGAAATTTAATAATAATATGAAATTTGTTCATACAATTTCGTTAAAGGATTATTTTATTATAATAATGCTTCTGTTATTAAGAAGATTTTGACTGATATAAATAAGTTTTCGGCAAATACAATAATTTTCTTAGAAGCAGTGCCTTTTAAGATATTCCGTAAGTAAATACAACCTTCTTGGAAAATAATGATTACATTAATAAGCATCGGCTGTTTATAAAGAGCAAATCTTGACTATGTTCTTAATTTAAAATTAAAATTATTATGACTTCAAAAATGTGCGCGTCGACAATCACTCAGTCATTCTAAGTACACCATAAACAAAATAGAGGTAAGTAGCTATTGGAACTATTCGAAGAAGACTTATTATAGATGCTCTTAAAAGTCAATAAATCAAAGTTAAACTTATATAAACAAATCATAATTATGTTAACTCACATGTAGCATTGATTGAGATTCCCACACGAACAACTTAATTAACTAATCCCTTGAATCGCGAAACGTGATCCATACTGTATCGCATTTCCATAACACCAACCTTTGAACTACATCTTACTCTTTCACTCTTTTTTCAGGACGATAAGAGTAAAAGAGATAGATGGAGAGCTCGTTATTTGAAAGCTCAGCGTCACATTAAACGCTTCAGTTCATAAATAAAATGGCTATCGTAGTATTCCTTGCAAAGTAACGCAAGAGATTTATTTATCAATTGCACTAGTACTTGATAAGTATAAGTTTAAAAAGTATGACCTATTTAACGCCTAAAAGATCATTTTCAAGGGTCTTCTGAAAGTCTTTGTTATTTTCTAATTTATTCATGTCTTCTCAAGACGTCTCGTTGACGACTCGAAGGACCAAAATTTTTCTGCTATGAGTTATGATAATAATCAACATTTTTGTCTGTAATTTAGATTAGGCAAATCGATTTTCGACTGAAAACGCAACTGAATTTCGTATCGGTTCCTCTTCTAAATAATTACTAAACAATATTTTCCAAATAACTAAAGATAACACCCGGTTAAGGTCACTGACCTTGACAGGGTGAGTCGCAAGTCATTTCATGGTGTATTTAACACGTCCTATTTCGACCGAGCACGTTACAGACATGCGCCCAAACAAATGTAATGTCAACCGGACATCAAGGTATACTAAACCAGTATAACTAGATCTCTGATTTAAAAGGCTTTGCTTGAAATAAGAGCTTAAGTAAAAGGGTTTTATATTGATTTGCTGTTGTATAATATGTATGTAATATTTATATTAAATGTTCATATTCTCCCACACACAGCAAGGGCAAAGTACAAATATTTGTAGCTGTAATTACTTCTTAATGTACTGCGATAATAATGTGGGAATATTTTTTTATCATTAGGTATATCTTAATACTGAGTAAGTACATACAATATTTATTTCTCATTTACTGGTCAGTTTAATACAGAAGGACTATTTTCCCGTGTACATAAAATAGCTGGACGTTAATTAAGCTTTATTTTTGGTGATGAAATAAGTATGAGGATAATTTTAGGTACAAAAAATAATGTAATTAACGGAAATCTTGAACACGCTTAGAACAATAAAGACATAGAGCAAAGGACCAGCCATCTGTAACTAAAGACAGACACGAGGTGCGATGCATTGGGTATTGACAAGAATGTTAAAATAATTGCAAACGAAAATATCTAAAGACCATGTACAATTCTTTAGTTTCGAAATTCTCTCAAAACTCAACTGAAAAGTAAGTTCCAGAAATGTACTTCATAATGATTCGCCTACATTACAACTGAGAAATTATTATTTACACAAACCAAACTTGAACCTAAGTTCATCAGTCATTGTTTACTAGGAATAGTCAACCATTAACTAATGTATATAAATAAATCATTACTTAATTACTTAGAAATGACAAATAAAAAGACAAATGTATTCCAAGAATAAGTAATAGGCGTAGATAAACACCAAACAAAAGAATTCTATCAACAACAAGCATATTTAAATGGACAAACAGAAAACGGTTTTGTAAATTATACCTATGTTGTATCGCTTGTAACTTTGTTCGAAGTTTATATACCAATTAAAATATTACTCAGGTACAGTTCCCTACAAACAAATTTCCTTGCGACTCGAAGGACCAAAGTTTTCCAATTAAGTCCGCAACTTGTCATCTGTTAGGGAAAGTTAGTGAAGTCACTAAGATAGATAAAGTGAAGGTAACATAGACGTTTAATATTGTTCCGAGTTCATATACTTGATCGACTGCCTATTTGGTTGATTAATGATCGATTACAAATCGGCATATAGCATTATTGGCCATTTTAATTTTCAAAATTCTTAGTAATAGCTTACGATTAGGGGTTTAGACTCTGTTTCTTATACTAAGAACTTATAAATCTGTCGAAATGTGGATGTTATATCCAAAAATTGTACCTGTATCTATCCCTTCCTGGAAAAGCCATGATATTATGAACATTCGCCAATCGATGACGTTTATGCATGCGGAAGCGTGGATGTACGGGGTGAATGACCGGTGACGGTGGCGCCACTTCGGATCTATGTAGGAAGGTGTCCCACAATAGTTCATCTATAATAGACTTCGCAGAAATTATCTGTGATATAATCTGCACATGACATTTGCATACTCTGTGGCTCATGGTTTTAAATACCGATACTATTTAATGAACGTAAAATAAATTGAAATGACCTATTCGTGATTATTAACCTTTAGTAAGTTTAGCCTCAAATGGAATTAGGTACTTGAAAATTTTCCTTAATGTTTTGTTTATGTCGTGAAATGGAGATTTGAAGTCTCATTTTTATTCTCTGAC